GAAGGGAGAAGCATGGAAGGACGTTAGAGCAGACGCTATGTCTCGCATGCATCCGCGGGAAGGGGATGGAGCGAGTCGAACGCACCGTTTATAGCTCTGGGTCAACGTCCCGAAGGGACGATATGACACCTGTTTTCGATGAACAATGCGATCGTCGGTCCGATTTTAGAGTCAAGGAACTTAATCCTTATAACTCGGGACCGGACCATATGCGATCTCTGACGCGGGGTGGGAGTAGGTACGAGGTCTTATAATCTTAAAATAAATGTGAATTGTGGACCATTATGTTCGATATATTCTACTTTTATTATTGTTATTAAAATTTAAGTACAGTATGATTATTAATACTTAAAATGATAATTATACTTTACTATTTAAATCATAATAATTAATATTCGTTAAAAGAACTCTTAATAACAATAAAAATTAAATATGAAACAAGGGATGTAAGAATCAATACCAACACACAATATTAGAAAATAATCAGAACTCTATTACATTACATTAAATAACATTACATAAATTCCATTGCAAAATATTACATGTTTCGGTCTTTATGTTAGACCCTCTTCAGATATATGCTACATATAAAATTGTTACACTACTTCGAAGACACTGAATAAAATTCAATAGTAAAACCACGTCAACGAATGAACATAAACCAAAGGTACCGAAATTGCTCGATAAAAGGTTAGATGGCTAATGAAACAGAACTTCTTGATGTTCATTATGTGACAACAATTTATAAATTCGAAGATGAAATATTCATAAGCTTCTTGTCAGTCAGTGTCATAGCAAATAATAAATAATATTAGTCATAATGTAAAATCACGGAGTCCAATTCCATTAAATTATATTTTTTTCTTTTTAATAATAATAGACCATCAAAGTATAACAATTGTGGAGAGTCCAGAGATGAAATTACATATGTATAACTGGTTCCACTGACAAACACTGACTAACTGGCTATACTTAATTTAAATCATAATATTTCTTAAACAATTGTAGTTATAGCTAACCGCATATGTGTGTATGTGTGTGTGTGTGTGTGTGTTTAAAGTTGTATTATATTTTTTTTATTATGCATGTGTGAGGGAGGAGGAAAGAAATTTAAAAAGAAGGCTACGGGGACTAAGAAAGGATGGGGGGAGTGTGGAAGGTAAACAGGGATAAGGACTTCGGGTGATTGACCGGTTATG